ATTCTGCGCAAAACGTAAAATTTGTGCAAAGAATCCGAAATTGGTATACGTGGTTCCGAAACCATTCTTGGATGGTTTTTTGGCGGGTTGCAACAGATCTTATAACATGATTTTTGGGTTTTTTTTTTATAAATATTATGGAAGAGAAAAGGCGGCTTCGCCGCCTTCTACCGCTGCTTAAAATTTTACCGCCACGCCGGTTCTTTTGGAACCTCCAGAACCCCCCTAAATAAATTGTTAGAGTATCATGCTGCTGAAGTGTGACATTCAACTTTTTACGAATTTCTCAAAATAAAACTACTTCTTATAAAGAAATAAGCTGAACTTTAAAAAACTCCTGTAAAATGAAAATAAACCCCGATCTCCTGATAGCATAAATAGAAACTTTAGTGCACAGTCAATTTGTACGCTCACGCATAATGTTTTATTTCCATGGGTGCCGGCAGGGGGGGGGGGGACAAATCGGGCATTTGCCCCCCCCCCTGGATTCAGAAAGTTGAATTATACAGCAAAATCAAAATATATTTATTTATTATAAAATAGTACGACGAGCGAAATTTGATCGTGGCGCCATCTAAGACTAGGATTCAACACTAAATAGCACTTTTGCTGTATTTAGTGATGACCATCTAATAGGCCGACCAAAAATCAGATAGTTGGGAAAACCCAGAATAGGGAAAACAAGTTTTCTCCTATTATCCACTATTCTGCCTACAGGCACTAAACTTGGATTGGTTTCCTAGCCATACTGACGAGACCTGATAGGTCGAAACGCGTCTGTGGATGGAATAGCAGAGAAAATTTATCCAAAAATTTTCTCAATTTTTTTAAAATAAAATATAGATGACTAAAACATATGTCAATAGAAATCCACAAAAGAGCATACATTTTATACATACATAAAAATGACCTTCACATTTGCGAAAATTTACACTGGTGGCTCATGTACGGGGACAGAACCCCCCATGCCTTGCCCCCCCCTCCTGTCCCGCTGGCTAGCGGCGCCCATGTTTATTTCTTTACATTTCCATCATAAGATCGCGTCATTTTTTATATGTCCTAAATAATTCTGCTTTGTTTTGTCAAAATGTTTATTTTTGCTTCACCTAATTCTGAAAGAATAATTACTGACCGTCCAACAGAACTAGATGAATACTCCCGCTGACAACTTTTTTGGTATATTATGTTCAAACTCAATTAGAACAAGGTACTGATGAAAACCACCTATTTAAAATATTATTTCCCTGAATCTTAACTTTTTACCGAGCTTTTTACAGAAACATTTACTGAATAAAATTAAATGTTGCAACCATGTATGCGCCGTACAAGTTTATAGGAACGAGACGTGATTCAGCGAAAAAGCGTACTGAAAGGGTAGGTTCTACGAACGGGACATAAAGAATAGGCGATTAGGCATTAGAAAAACGAGAGAAGAAACTGCACTGGGCCCTCAGACGCTTGTCGCGTGTCTGTAATTATTCATTATTCAATTTTCATGTTTATTTTGCATTAAATTGATGTTCAATCGAATTTGTTATTAGTGTGTGTGTCAAGAAGTTATTACAGGTAAGTTGAATAGTTGTTATTTTGTTTTGAGAGTTCCATTATTTGTACAAGTATCATTTTTTCCATTTTTATTTTTTTTATAACATGTGCATTGTTTATGTATTTAACCAAAATCGTTTCATGCTGTAAACAACACAGATAAAGAGTAAATTAGAACCTAAGAAATTATGTGCTGTCTTTTTGTGCTCAGATTCTGATTTTGTGTATTCAGAGCGTGCATTAGAGCCTTGTTGAATTTACTAACATTTTCCTACCCTGACGAGAGAATATCCTAACAAATTGAAATAATCAATCTAGAGATATTGGTTCAAAAACAACTATAGCTGAGTAGCTTCCTGTATGGGACCTCAGTACCTCTTGGGAAAGTGACTAACTTACCAAAAAACTCTTCAGTTTAGAATATAGGTAGTGTTGATTGAATGTAGTGTGTGTAATTGAAATTTTAGCACAAGAACAGGGGCGGTACTTAATTTAAACTTTTATTGACTTAAATTATTGAATTAATTACTCACAACTATTATTAAAATGACACAGTATGTTTAGATTTTTGAGGAATGTTAGATTGAGGGTTTCTCTGCCGTGCTCTTTTCCCTCGTTAGTTCCAGGCCGAGAGCTGTACGTTTTTCTTTGATAATAAAGGAGACGTTTCACAAATTTTGCGTTTCTTTTACATATTACAGCTTCCCTTAAATTTCCCAAATATTTGCTATGTCGGGCGCATGTCCAGTAAGTAAAATTGAGTAAGTTTCCACAACGTAGGTTCTATGTATTTTTCATTTCATTTTTCAGAAGATTTTTTGTTTGAAAGGTAATAAAAATTCTCATCATTCAATCTTACTGAGCGAACCTGGGTATGTTATACTACAGTACCAACTGGTGGCTGACTAGTCACTGAAAATTTCCAGTAGAAATATAACTAGTGCATAAAATATTTCTGGAAATTTTTGAAAATTTTGTCTGAAGCCAATTTTTTGACAAAATCATGAGTGCATAGCGCCTGAAAAAATCCCGAACCCGAAGGGTGAGGGATTTTTTCTTTGGTGCTATGCACGAATGGTTTTGTTTAAAAAAATTGACTAAAGACCAAATTTTTAAAAATTTCCCTTAGGAAATATTTTATGCACGTGTTATATTTTGATAGGAAATTTCCCGAGTTTGAAGTTTATTTACTATAAGTTGTGTCGAATATTTTAATTATGATGATGTGTTCTGTGATGGTGATTGTTATTGATCTTTCCCATTTAAATTGCGTTTGTCAAAAAATATACACTTTGACAGATTTCTGACATCAATGCCAAAAATGACAACCTAAAGGTGGGTTTCCGACGGACGCCGCGCGGCATTGTCGCATTGGAAATTGCACCCGGAAATATCCCTCTCACCAGGGATATTTCCACTTGTCAATTTTTGAAAATTACGAGGTAAATTTTCGAATGTAATACCACAAGAGGTTTCAGGATTACCGGATAATACTTTTACCTGTCACGAAACGCAGCAACACCACGACTCCGAAGGAGGAGTGGTGTTGCTGGTAACGCGTTGAGTGTCAGGGAAAAGTATTAGGTAATCCTGAAACATCGAGTGGTATTCAAAAGGTTATACAACGAACTAAACTTCAATTCTTTATTAATTAATAATTTCACGAATCAAAAATTTAAATTTTTTGTCAAAAAATGTCAAAACACCAGTTACCGTGCAAAAGGATTATCACTTATTAAGCCTCTCGTGTCATATGGGAAGGATTATCACTTATTAATCCTGTCGTGTTATATGGGAATAATGTACAGTGAGTTGTATAACCAGTTAAATATGCACAAGGGAAATTTCCATAAAAAATGCACTGTCACTAGTCAGCCACCAGTTATAATTTATTTATTTACCTTGTTTCAATTAACTTTGGAAAAACTATACCAAAGACTACCAAGTGCAGGCGGGTATGTTATGTAGGTACGTATTACGACTAGGGACTGGGGTGTCTTGACTTTTCACAGGGCCCTATTTTTCATTTTCGTACCTAGGCCCAACCAGGCCTTACTTAGTTTAGGATACTGTTTGTCATTATTGATGACTACTCACCCGCATTCAAACAACTTATAGAAAACAAATATGTTGATATGTTGTTCGAAACAAGTTTTTTTTACCTCTAAGGCCCAGTTGTACAATCTCGGTTCAAAACAAAGATCAACTGAACTTGCCCGGTACTTGAGCTTTCCCATTTAAAATACATTGCTGTCAGCCATTAATCAAATTCTTTCAATTTTGAGAGCAATACATTTCAAATGGGGAAGTTCAAGTACCAGTCGAGTTCAGCTGAACTCTGTTTTGAACCAAGATTGTACAAATGGGCCTAAACGCCCAAAAACGTTCATTTTGAGGCTCGAAATGAACACTTTTGGGCGTGGCACTTGAAAAAAATTCTTCCTCCGCCGGCGCCTGCGGCGGGCTACCACCACCGGCATCTACGTAAGGGTACTATATCTCTATAGCGCAGCGCAATTGTTCTTTGTACGCGGGCGGCCGATACTTTAGGATCGGCCCTGGCGCAAAGCAATTGTGGAGCACTCCTGAGCTGCTCAGGAGTAACTCAAATGGGTCACTGAAAAGCCCCTCTGAACTAAACATATTTTGAAATGTTTATTTACTGTCAAAATTTGTATGTTACACCGGGAGCTCAAATTGGGGTTAATAATTTTTGTACTTTTTTTTTTGATTGCAACTATACATAAAAATGGCTACATTCGCCAGAACCAGAACGGATTGTAAACAGTTTATAAATACCAACAGAATACGTTGGGTAAACTCTTGGTTCTGCTGAACGATTCAACTTTTCAATGATAGAACGTCACCCTCTGAATATCATGTCATTACACAAAGCACAAAAAAAGTGTTGAAAATTATAAACACTCTGAAATTATGCTTGCAAAAATGGCGACCGTTTGCAAAACATGTTTGGTTTCAACACAAATTGAACGTATTTAGCATTCAGCAGAATAATCGCACATTTACCAACGTTTGTATCTGGTGAACGCAGCCGTCTTTTATAACTTTGTTTTTTTTTTTTTTCAACTAAGAACGTAGATAATAGGTGCGTACGATAAGTCCAACTACTGACACTTTTTACCCCGACCCGTCATTAATGTCGCACTTTTTACACCATTCGTACCGTTTAGCATTCCATATTCCCGGTGGTTTCCAATGGTTGCGTTCCAAAACATAACTGCACCGCACTAACGTTAACCGGTTCAGACAAATCGTACGCACCATATCGAAGAACAAAATTTATAGCAGAGTATTTCCTTCAAATTCAGGCATTTGTGAAATACGTATAGTCTGGCAAGTGGTAAGTTGATAGAGACGGAAGGGGGAAGAAAAATTGGGCGTAACCTAAGAATATTCACTGACGGCACCTCAACTGACACCGCTTGATGACAGCCATGTCTTCGGGTGACCCAATAGTGGACTCACTCATTAATGTTGAGGCAATGGTTTGGCTTAGCTCTAATTTCATCGCTCTCGCAGCAGTTGTTCAAAATATCTTCTATATACATCCGCCATCAGATGTCCGAAATATCAAGGCTCAGCTGAAAACGGATAGCTATTCCAACGATTTATGGATTCCGCTTTACTACCGCCTCATAGACAATGATCGTACACGCACTTTCCAGACAGTACTTCCAGAATCGCGGACTAGATTATACCGGTATAAATTGCGAGTGGAATTCCTGAACAACAGCATTTTAGATAGCAGGGAATGGACAACTATCGGAATTGGTCCGCAGCAAGAAACCATCTCCAAAATCCTGTGTAGAAACGAAACTATAAACTCCACTTCAACCGATTCTAGACCTGATGCATCTATTTACTTAATCTATACCTGTATAATAACCATAGCTGTAGTTTTCGGTATTTTATTGTCTAGAATGTTTTACCTAATTATAGGAAAAAGCAAATGTGATTATTTTAAGGTTTAATGAATAAAATTTTACCAAAAATTTGTTGTTTCATTAATCTTCATCGCCAATTGCATCGAATAAGGCATGCCTAAGAACAGGGTCTAGTTAACGGGGGCACCTGAGCCTGGGAACTTTTTCGATACCGTGGGAAAATCTCTAGATCGGCGCCGTCTTTGATCTGAAATTTCGGGGTTTTGACCCGGGCCAACCGTGGGAACTTTTGCGATAGCGTGGGAACTTTTTCGACAGCGTGGGAACTTTTTCGATACCGTGGGAAAATTTCTAGATCGGTGACGTTTTTGATCTGAAATTTCGGGGTTTTGACCCGGGCCAACCTCAAATTTTTGGGGTTGAAAACGTGGTTTATTAAATAACATTTTATCTGAAATTGTGTTTCATTACTCGCGCTATTTCTATCAAACTTTACCAAGTTAGATTAGGCTAGGCTAGGCTAGGCTAGTTCAATATTTTGGAATTCTGTCGAATAATCCATTAGGAAAAAATAAACATTTCATCCGAAATTGCGCTCATGACCACTACAGTTGAAATTCAATTCGATTAGGCTAAGCTAAGCTAACATCACCACTTAAAATCATTTTGCAAGAAATTTTGATTCATTCATCCTCACTATTTTACGAAAGACCAATATAGGTTTCTAAAAGCTCAACTAGACTCTACTAAATTAAATCCGAAAAACTGATAAAAAGATGGCGCCAGGTAATAAAAATAGATACTTTGGAATTATCACAAAAGGTTAGAGTAGTTCAGAGCAGATTGGAGTAGGTTGCACTAGTTACATTAGTTTGGAGTAAATCATACTAGTTCAGAGTTGATTGGATTAGTTCGGAGTAGGTTCGGTTAGACATTGACAGATGACTGATAGATGACTGACACTTAAGTTTAACATTGGTTGACAGATGACTGAAATTTGATTGACATGATTGACATTTGTTTTCTCCGGAGGACGGAGGATGGTGAAACCCCCTAATACATCTACTTCAGTGGCACCGAAAACACCAAGGAAATGAACCAATAAAATTTTTAGAATTTTTTTGTAAGTTTCGACAATAACCACGCCACTGTGCTGTCGTTCAGGCTCTAACCTTAGCCTCTAACCAATAGAATCATGCCTCTAAATAATCACGCCTCTTCCCATCCATCATTTCGCAATATTGCCGGATTTTTTTCTATTTCAAAATACTACACATGCCCATATAAAAAAAATATATGTCACGAGTATGTCACCAACTTGTTTATTAAAGTTTCCGTCAAGTTTAGCAAATCAGCAAATTCTTTTGCAGTTCGCCGTTTGGCTAGCCAGACTGTAATAGCTATTTATATAACAAGTACATAAAGTAAGGCTTTATTGTACGAATGCTATGCTATGCTATGCTACGAGGCTATTAAATAATGAGTCAATAAAGCCTTTTTATGTAAGCGTTATATACATGATTTTATGTACGATTGCGACTGGTTTTTGTTAAAAATTTAATAGTTATTTATGTATCAAGGGAATTATGAAGGTGTTAATACCCCAGGGCAAAGTTTGTATCCCGAAGACCTTCGGCCCGAGAGACACCAATTGCCCGTGGGTATTAACACCTAATAATTCCCGTGGTACATAGATAATTTTATTTCCCACTGAATTTACGGTATTTTGTCCATTTTTATAAAGAAATACACCATAAATCAAAATTTCAATTTTTTGTCAAAGTTTCACCTATTCAAGGTAAAAGCGGGAGTTATGGAAATCCTTAGCTCCCTTGGGAGTTATGATACCCTTAACTCCCTTGGGAGTTAAGACCCTGTTTATGATTATCGTAACCAAGGTATTATATGGTTATAATAGTTCAGTAGGAAATAAAAACATTAATGAAAAAAGTAAAATTCGTGTAGATATACCTGTTTCACTTTGGCAGGTTATCAGTACCTGTTTCACCTTGGCAGGGGTGGTCAGGACCTGTTTCACCTTGTCAGGAAGTCCAGGTAGGCAAAAAAGTAGCACTTTATTTTACTAGTACCATAAAGTGCTACTTTATTGACTCAAAACTGTTCTATAAATAGCACTTTCTTGATCAATCAGACATAAAATCTGTGTTTTTTTTTTAAGATAAAAGTCAAAATGACATTATGTTGGCAATACAATGTAAAATTGTCAATGCTCCAAATTAGTAAGTTTTGAAAAACATCATATACTGTCACGAAATCGACTTATGGAGACCTGGGACTCAAGCCCCCCCCCCCCTCAAACCAACAAGCTAGTTGTTTTGTAGCTTTATATTCTATTCCATCCAGTTGTTAGTTGCTTTTTCTGAAAATTCTGGTACCTAAATTGATATTTGGGACTTTTCCTGTAAAATTCGTTATGGGCTCGTTGAATTTTTGTTGTCCAGTGAAAATTGCATTTCAAATAGAATTAGTGTGCAATCATAGTATCGATCACTAATCATCGTAAATTTATTTAGGCAAAGTTTAGACAAATTTGGCTAAAAATAATAAATCCCGGTATAATTACTGTTTACATTCGGGCCTGTTGAAATCGACGAAACGAAATTAAATAGAATAATTATTGATGTGTAAATTTGATTCATTTTGGTAATGGATTAATTTAAGCTGATTATGGCTTATAGCAGCAGGATTAATTATTATAATATATTTTTTCTTTTATAAGAGATCTTTCTGCACTTATTAAGAAATATCTACCATTTCGAAACGGTTATTAGAGAAATAACAATAATTATAGCTCGCCAAACAAAAATATAATTCTCTTAGCATACAGAGACTAATTTTACTATATTGACTTTAACTACACCTGTTAATTATCGATGTAAATAGTAAGAGGGCACTACCACGGTTTGAATGTTTTTTTCGCTTTTGGTGTGAAACCGATAAATTGTTTTCCAGAGAAACACCAGCGTGTTTCTGGCAGTTAGCGAAATGGAATGGACATTTAATTTTCGATGCTTTGAGTTAAAGTGCTATTGGAATCTCATTCGTTTTGTATAGAGTATATATAACTAGCAGCTAATAGTTGGTTTTTTAATAAAAGCAAAAAAAAAACATCATCCTGTATAATGAATTAAGTGGATTGATATTGTATTGGAAATATTTGTTTGTCATTGATCCGATCACCCCATTAGATGAATTCGTATTAATAATTTAGCATACTTAATTAGCAAGTTTAGTTAATTTGGATACAAATTGTTAATTTAACATTTATTAACAAAATTGTCGAGCATCATAATAAGTGCTTTTGCCAATTTTGTTTTGAGTCAATTTCATTTAGAAACAAGATTAAAGATCAAATATTTCATTGAGTATAGTGATTAATAATTTATTTTTTCCCATATCTTAAGGCTGATTTATACTGGATTTTAAGTCACAAAATGGTTAAAAAAAGGTAACCTTTATGTGACTATAGTTCTAAACCGAAAGTTTCTACTATTAAAATACCTACATACTCCTTTTAGAATATTCTACACAGACTTTGAGTCTACTGGTCTTTGCTAAATACCAACTAAATGTTTACTGAAAATATTTGAAATTATTGGACGAAAAAAAAAAAAAAAAAAACGCTTTGATCGCAGGTGCTTTGAAACAGTAAATTAAACAAGGATAATCTTGTTCGCTATAAAATATACTTTTTCTAGGAACATTTGTGTGTCCAAATAAATCTGCTCTGTACCGTAAGGATATTATGGGAATTTATTATTTAATTTTCAATTTAAATAAAGTATGTAAAGAGTAAAAATATAATTCAATTTTTAAATTCTACTTAAAAAGTTATATCAAATTCACGTTCGGAATTCATTTCAGGCGACTTCTAAATGATGGAAAATCGGAAAAAAAGCACTCCTTTGAAAATTAACAGCTTTTATGAGCTAGTTTTCCATTATGCCATTAGATAATTGAAGCAATTTGGAGGACGACATATTTTGTCGATAAACAACTCAGGGATGAATTAATTGTATTTTTTTTTTTTGAATGTTTTAGTGTGCTTTCAATCTATTGATCAGTTTACAGGATAGGTATAATGGATAAATTTGAAAAATCTAAAGGGTGTATCAGGTTTGACTACAAAAATTTTAACACGTGAAAATATGACCCATTTTGAACAAAAAAAGTTTATACAACATGGGGTTTAAACTCAACAATTTTTAAGAAAAAGGCCTTTGAAGTTTTGACATTTTTTGACGAATATTTTAAAGATAAAGAAAATTTTAATCATTATGAGATGTAAAATAAATTAGTTTATTAAATTATTAAGTAATTATGCATTTTTAGTCAATAACAATAACGAAAGATTGAAAAAACAACATAAAAATTTCACTTGTAAATTGGTATCTAAACATTTGGCAACATAGCACAATAAAGAATAGGTGGTTGAACGTTGAACCTTGGTTGAACTCAATAAATTGTTCTTGATTTGTCTAGTCTAGTTATGGGAAACGCGCGTAATTCAAATTCATTCTTTTTTGAAAATAAAATGTTTACAAACGTCGAATATCTGTGCAGATACTTGTTTAGGCAGAATCGTTGCAAAATGCTTATTTAGCCGCTAGAATTTACAGGGAAACTAGGGAAAGATTTCTCAAAAGAAAAAAACCCATCTGATGAAAAAACATTGTCACATTGTGCACGTTTTACAAAGATTGCTTGATACCCGTGATACCTGAAGTGTGAATGCGCAAAATCTGCGTGTTGATTTTGGTGTTTTGAGAACCTTTTCAAAAAAAAATAATATTTTCAAATAAGGATTTGGCTGATAGCTGAGTAAGTATTATTTAATTTTTCTTTTAAATGTTTAGTGCAAAAATGTGCAATTCACAACTTAATAAAACGGCACATTTATTTTTACTAGAAAAGTGATAGAAATGTAAGTTATGATTTACATTATTTAAAAACCAATAGCAAACCAAAACGTAAACAGATGGAAATAAATAAACTCCGTGCAAAAAGAACTCTTCAAATTTACCAGTTTTATTTACATTTATATCCTGGCAGAGATAATACTTGTA